TAAAAAGCTGTTCGTGTGGGCAACTAGTTTGGCAAACCTGCCATAATCCCCACCTGCGCCGTTAACCCCATTCCAGAAACAGGCGGAAACCCCTTTTACGTCTGGTGATCGACTGTGGGGCGGGGCCCCCTACCCAAAAACTCGACGGGAACCGTTCCTTTTTTACATCATGGGGGGAAAAGTCACCAGGTGGGCCCCGGGAAAGGGAGGGTTCCCCTTTTAGGGGATTTAATTTTTCTGCCTAAAGTGAGAGCACGGTTTAAAGTTCCTTCTCACTTTGGGGTTTTTAAAAAGAAGTTCAATTTGGATCAAGGGTCGAATTTTTTCTTCAAAATTTTTCCGTGAAAACCCTTGGGTCAGTTTAGGGGGAAGACGGTTTACGGGGGACGGCCCCTTTTGACCCCCAAACACAAGGGTGGTGGAAAAGGGTTTCCCTCAAAAATTTGAAAAAATTTTGATGTGTCCCCATTGTTTACAGTATTCCCAAAAATGGGATGAAGGTTTTTCCCCTTCTTTGTTTTGCCCTAAGAAAGGAACGAAAGAAGAAAAAAAAAAACTTTTAAGTTTTCGCCCCCTTTGAGTTAATTATGGGCCCTCAAATTAGGGACCGTAAAGGTTTTCAAAGAAGGGGTGGCCGGGGAAAAAACGCCCATTTTAGGGGGCTCTTTCCCACCTTAATGAAAGAAAGGCCGGGCCTAGCTAGAAATTGGGCCCCCGAAAACCCTTTCGACAAGCAAAGAGTAAGATGAAGGAAAGGGAAAAACGTTTGTCGAACTAAAAATTCGGTTTTTATTTGAACCCAAAAAATCAAGTTCTGGTTCAAAAAAAAGATTTTCCAAACAGGGGCATGCTCTTAAAAAGCCCCAAATTTTAAGGTCCTTGGGAAAACGTTTAAAACGCCTAAGTGACGTGAACTACTTTGGGAAGGCGCCCGAAGAAAGGGGAACTCCAACGGGCGTTTTACTTTTAAAAAACTTAAAAACCCCATTCGGGTTGTTTTTTTCCCGTTTTTTACTTTACACCCCCGGAAAACCCAAAAAGGGTTTTCCGTAAGTTCAGATGAAAATGGGGGGGGGGGGTTTGAATAAAACCCGTTCTTCTGAACAATTCGACGCCTTAAAAAATTTAAATTCTCTATGATAAAACTTGGGAAATGGACAAAGGACACGAAAAAAATCCTGATTAAGGGAAATCTCCACCTGTTCAAAAAAGACGTCCCAAAACCCTGTTTTCGTTGGGGTTGCACGATGGGTTTTTCTCCCAAAAAACCTACCCCCCAAACAAGCCCAAACTCCCAAGAGTTTTGGGGGGGGGTCCCAAAAAACAAAAGGGGAGCTAGAGGCAGAGGGGGAACTTTTTTCTCTCCCCGGGTTGATAAAACCAAAGGGAACTCCTTGGGAACCCCGTTTCCCTTTAAATCCCAAACCAATGGGAAAAACCCCTATGTGCACGGATTTTTAAAAAAAGTCCAATGCTTTTAAAAAAGTGCCTGATGGGTTTTCCCCTACCCCAAAATTTAAAGACTTAAAAAGACAAGGGGGCTGAGAGCTTTAAAATATTTTAGTAAAATTTGGGCTTTTTAAAGGGGGATTACCAAAATCCCCCGGGGGTTTTTTTTTTTTTTTCCCCCCCCCCCCCCCCCCAAAAGCTCAAAGATTCGGCTTTTACGTTTTCCCGGGGGGCCCTATCGTATTTCGGTTTTAAAGGGGGTTGTTCCGGGGGTTTTTTATTTTGAAAATTTTTAAGGGCGGATTTTGGGCGGAGTAGAAGCCCTTTCTTAACGACTTAGGGCGTATACAGCGACAGTTTTGGGCCCCCAAAACCCCCGAAAGCTTAAAGCCTTGTTTGGAGCCTTAATTAAAAATAATTTTTCAGTAAATTTTTCCAAATGTGAGTTTGGCCAACAAAATTAAATACTTTGGATTTCGGATTGGGCAAGGTTGGGAAATCGCTCCCTTTTTAAGCCAAAGTTAAAGGCCCCCCCCTTTTTTTTTCCTACCCCTAAGGATTGGAAAAGGGATCAAGATTTTTAGGGGGTTGCCGGTTACTACCGGGCGGGTTTTGTTCCCAATTTTGGGAAAAAGGGAGCTTTTTTAAAATAACTGAAATTAAAAAGTCCCAAAAAAAAAAGTTTTCGGACTCAGGAAATGTTTTAAAATTTCTTTTAAAAACCCTTTAAAAGTTACTATCCTCTTCCCCCCTTTTTGCTAAGTCCTGGTTTTAAAAAACCATTCCCTTTCAAAAAAAATTTCCATGCGTATGCTTGGGAGCCGCATTGTTACAGAAGGCTCCAAAATTTTACCTATTACAAAATTTTTTTTTTCTTTTTTTTTTTCTAAGTTAAAGAAAAACCAAATTAATTTTTTCGACTATTGAAAAAGAAGCCTTAGCTCTCGTTGTATGCCAGGAAATTTTGGTTTTATTTTTTAAAGGAAACTTCCCCCCATCAGATATCGGGGTTTAAATCCGATTTTAATCCTTTGACCTTCATAATTTTTATTTAAATCGAAGAAAAGCCCCGAATATTCGGGTTGGGGTTTTTAGAAATTTACCCCTCTTTCCTTTTACCCTTTCCCCCTATAAAAGGAAAACATAATTTTTCATTGCTGATGCCCTCCTCAGGGGCCCTTTAAATTTTATTTAATTTTAAATTTTTTTTTAACAGTAAAGGGGTCGGTACTTTTAAAGACCATCTATGTTGTGGAAAGCTGGGGGAAAGATTTTAAAGGGCTGCTGTCTATGTTACAACCTCTTCTTATTTTGACAGATTCTACCCCCCACAGAGATACAAATCAAAGGGGACCATCATCACGAGGGGGAAGGGGGGTTTCGCGCCCCTACTTCACTCCATTATTTACAAAAAAAAAAAGCCCGGTTTAAAAATAATTTTTGTAATAATTTTATCGCGAAAACCCCCTTTATTCTTGCTTTGATAAAGCAAAAGGTTTTGACTAATTTTATTATCGGGGACGATTAAACAAAAGTACTTTCATTGTATTAATTGTATATTTTATCTTTCCCCAAAGATTATTTTTTTCTATAATATTATATTATATTATTATTTGGTTTAGGTATTACGAAAGTGTTTAAACCATACTGTAGTGACCAAATGGGGGGTTCTAGAATTTACCGGGCCCCGCGTCGCCTTCTGGCCCGAGCGGAAAATCTGACTATGAAATTTGGAAATGAGTCAGCAGCTCCTAGCTCTGACTCGGTACGGGTCTTTAACCCCAAAACTCCTAAACTTTAAAATGAAAATTTAACCCAAAATTTGGGCCTTTTCCAAAAGTCTGGTAAAATTTATTTTCACTTTTAAAATAACTATTTCGTTACCCTAGACCTTTCCCCAAAAGAGTAGATTTTTTAAAAATTTAAAGATTTTTTAAAAACTCTGTTTTTAATGAGAATTTGAACTTTAAAATTGGGTTTTTTTGCTGTTTAGTGTTTCATTTATAATTTTCTTGTTTTTTATTTTTAAATTTAAATAACCAAATACCAAAGAAGCTAAAAAGATTTGGGAATAAAATAAAGCTAACAAAAAAATGGAAATTTTTTGTGCCCCCAAAGGGTTTTGTGAAGAAATTTTGTCGGGAAAAAAGTTTTGCACAGAAGGAAAAATTTTTTTTTACCTACACTGCGGGTCCCCGAAAGGGGGAAAAAAAAGGGGGGGTTCCCATGTTGGGTTTTCCCCAGCAGAAAATTTGAAGGGGATGAAAAAACGTGCTTAAAAAAATTTTCCGGGCCCAAAACAGGGCTCGCAAACAAATTGGGTTTTAAAAAGAAAAATTTTTAGATTAGGAACGATTTTAAAAAAAGCACTGGTTTGGAATAGAGGGTTTTTGATGAGGGAACAAACTCCCCAGTAAAAGTTTTAGAGGGTTTTTAAAAATTTGGGGTTTGTTTAAAAATAAGTTTTGATAAATAAAGGGGTAAAAGGGGTGGGTGGGTTTTTTAAGATGGACCCGGCTAGCTTGTTTCTACTAGGTCTTTTGCCGTGCTCCTTCCCTTTAAATGGAAGGGGAAACCCGATAGGTTTGGGGCATTGGCTAAGCCCGGGGGGAAAAATGGACCTTTCTTCGCAAAGGGTCTTTAGGCCTTTTGCAGTGGGTTTTTTTCTTTCTTAAGTTCTTTTTTCTATGGGCCGCCGCAGGGAAAATTTAAAAAGGGGCCGCAGTTCCGACCAGGGGGAAGGTTTAAAAAAAAACCGGGGCCCCCCCCAAGAGAAATAAGGGGAAATATTAGCGCGGGGAATTAAGTTGGGGGGGAGTCCCCCTGGTTTTAATGGAAAGAGTTAACGTGACCACAATGATCAACCAGACTGGCCTGCAGCCTCGTCACCTTCACTACTCATTTCAATGCATTATCTTCACAACTTCATATCTTAACAAATTTTTCACAATTTCTAGTTCACACTCCTACCCCTCCCAAAATTTCTCTTTTTATTTCCTTTTATTCTTATTCCGTTCATATGCACATTAATGTAAGTTTTGAATCACTGCAGAAATTTGAAGTACCAACAATCTAATTTTTTTAAATGCTTCTCAACATTGTTAATATTTTTTAACATTATTAATGGTGGTCAGTCTTTATTCGTTATTAATATTTCTGGATTTTAAATGGAACTTTCATCGTAGTGCAAAAGGCAATCGGCAGAGAAAGCTTTAATTGCAAAGCTTTATCATATTTAATAAGTTGATAAAGCTTAATAGCAAGCACAATAAAAGCGTTTTGCATGTGTTTTTTTTTTTTTATTCCCAGACAACTGATCCCACCGAATATTTTAATTTTTACCAGAGTTATATCTTGAACTTATTTCTCATATTTCCCCTTTGATATATATCTGAAGACACTTGAAGTAGACCAGTGCAGAGTATGAGGATTTCACTGTAATATTTATATAACTTTGCAGTGACAGTTCACAAATACTTCTCGCACTGATGTGAATATTTCAGAACGACTTTTCATCAGCCGTGGACCATTACTAAATTACATAAAAATGGTCCAGAATGATCAGGGATGATCAAGGAAGCTGTTGGTACTTACCTTGCCGTCTTGCCTGCCTCGGTAAGTAAAGTGGTGAGGGTATCATTATCTTCTGTTCCACTCTCAGCCATCTGCAGAATACCCACAGACATTTAAATAGATACTGATACAATGTAAATTTTCCCCACCACTTTCACAATGTACACCATACACTGTGACCTACAAACCATACGCTGTGATAAACCCCACACTGTGACACCCATACACTGTGATACCACACACTGTGACACCATACACTGTGATACCACACACTGTGACCCCCATACGCTGTTTATACCACACACTGTGACACCATACACTGTGATACCACACACTGTGACACCACACACTGGGAATACCAAACACTGTGATACCATACACTGTGATACCACACACTGTGACACCATACACTGTGATACCACACACTGTGACACCATACACTGTGATACCCCCACACTGTGACACCATACACTGGGATACCAACACTGTGACACCATACACTGTGATACCACACACTGTGACACCAACACTGGGATACCACATACTGTGACACCATACAATGTGATACCACACACTGTTTCACCATACACTGTGACACAATACACTGTGATACCACACACTGTGGCAAAATACACCCTGACACCATACACTGTGGTACCACACACTATGAAACCCTACACTGTGATATCACACAATGTGACACCATACACTGTGATACCACACACTGTGACACATACACTGTGATACCAAAACACTGTGACACCACACACAGGGATACCTACACTGTGACACCATACACTGTGGTACCACACTATGTGACACCATACACTGTGATACCCCCACACTGTGACACACTCACTGGGATACCACACAATTGACACCATACACTGTGATACCAAACACTGTGACACCATACAATGTGATACCACACACTGTTTCACCATACACTGTGATACCATACACTGTGACACCATACACAGTGATACAAAACACTGTGGCAAAATACACCGTGACACCATACACTGTGATATCACACACAGTGGCACCATACTCTTGACAAACACACACTGGGGACCATACACTGTGATACAACAAACTGTGGCACCCCTACACTGTGAAACCACACACTTGACACCATACACTGTGATCCACACACGTGACACCATACACTGTGATACCACACACTGTGGGACCATACACTGTGATACCACACCCCTGTGGCAAAATACACCGTGACACACCATACACTGTGATACCACACCTGCGACACCATACACTGTGATACCACACACTGTGGCACTATAAACTGTGATAGCACTCACTGTTCCACCATACTCTGTTGCACCATACACTGTGGCACCATACACTGTGATACCACACACTGTGGCACCATATCTGTGATACCACACACTGTGGCACCATTGACTGTGATACCACACAAAGTGACACCATACACTGTGACACCAGACACTGGGGCACCGTAAAACTGTGATGCCCCACACTGTGGCAAACCCTTTCACTGGGCAGCACCATACTGTTTAATACCACACACCGTGACACCATACACTGTGATACCACACACTGTGGTACAATAACTGTGATACCACACACTGTGGTACCATACACTGTGATGTCACACTTTGTGGCATCATACACTGTGATACCACACAAATGTGACACCATACTCTGTAATACCACACACACTGGGAACCATACACTGTGACACACCCACACTGTGGCACCATACACTGTGATACCACACACTGTGTCACCATACACTGTGGCACCATACACTATGGCACCATACACTGCAATACCACACACTGTGCACCATACACTGTGGCAGCACCATACTCTGTAATACCACACACCGTGACACCATACACTGTTATACTACAAAACCGTGACGCCATGCACTGTTATACTACACACCGTGACGCCATACACTGTGATACCACATACTGGGGGCACCATGCACTGTGACACCACACACTGTAATACCATACACTGTGACACCACACACTGGATACCATACACTGTGGCAGCACCATAAATGTTTTAATACCACACACCGTGACAAACCCTACACTGTGATACCACATACCGGGTACAATACACTGTGATACCATACACTGTGATACCATACACTGTGACACCATACACTGTGACACCACACACTGTGACACCATACACTGTGACACCACACACTGTGATACCATACACTGTGATACCATACACTGGGGATACCATACACTGTGATAACCATACACTGTGATGCCACACAATGACACCGTATATTGTGATACCACATACTAACCCCATACACTCTAATAACACATACTGAGACACACCATACACATTAAAACCATACAATGACACATCACACACTATGGTACCATACACCATAATCTTACATTTATAATGTTCGATTAAAAGAATAAATTATAGAATTTACAGTGAAAATATTTATTCCCGTGATCAGTTATAATAAGTAAATATCACTGATAAAAATATTTTCCCTGTACGTTCTAAAATTTATTTAATTAAACGACATTAAAATGCAAGAATATCGGGAATGGTGCCATAGTGTGTAGTGTCTCATTGTATGGTGCCATAGTGTGTAGTGTCTCATTGTATGGTGCCATAGTGTGTAGTGTCTCATTGTATGGTGCCATAGTGTGTAGTGTCTCATTGTATGGTGCCATAGTGTGTAGTGTCTCATTGTATGGTACCATAGTGTGTAGTGTCTCATTGTATGGTGTCACAGTGTGTAGTGTCTCATTGTATGGTGCCATAGTGTGTAGTGTCTCATTGTATGGTGCCATAGTGTGTAGTGTCTCATTGTATGGTGCCATAGTGTGTAGTGTCTCAATGTATGGTGCCATAGTGTGTAGTGTCTCAATGTATGGTGCCATAGTGTGTAGTGTCTCATTGTATGGTGCCATAGTGTGTAGTGTCTCATTGTATGGTGCCATAGTGTGTAGTGTCTCATTGTATGGTGCCATAGTGTGTAGTGTCTCAATGTATGGTGCCATAGTGTGTAGTGTCTCAATGTATGGTGCCATAGTGTGTAGTGTCTCATTGTATGGTGCCATAGTGTGTAGTGTCTCATTGTATGGTGCCATAGTGTGTAGTGTCTCAATGTATGGTGCCATAGTGTGTAGTGTCTCAATGTATGGTGCCATAGTGTGTAGTGTCTCATTGTATGGTGCCATAGTGTGTAGTGTCTCATTGTATGGTGCCATAGTGTGTAGTGTCTCATTGTATGGTGCCATAGTGTGTAGTGTCTCAATGTATGGTGCCATAGTGTGTAGTGTCTCAATGTATGGTGCCATAGTGTGTAGTGTCTCAATGTATGGTGCCATAGTGTGTAGTGTCTCATTGTATGGTGCCATAGTGTGTAGTGTCTCATTGTATGGTGCCATAGTGTGTAGTGTCTCATTGCATGGTGCCATAGTGTGTAGTGTCTCATTGCATGGTGCCATAGTGTGTAGTGTCTCATTGTATGGTGTCACAGTGTTTGGTGTCACAGAGTATGGTGTCACAGAGTATGGTGTCACAGTGTATGGTGTCACAGTGTTTGGTGTCACAGAGTATGGTGTCACAGTGTTTTTGGTGTCACAGTGTTTGGTGTGGGGGTCACAGTGTTTGGTGTCACAGTGTTTGGTGTCACAGTGTTTGGTGTCACAGTGTTTGGTGTCGTAGCGTGTACTATCACAGTGTATGGTGTCACAGAGTATGGTGTCACAGAGTATGGTGTCACAGAGTATGGTATCACAGTGTATGGCGCCACAGTGTATGGTGTCGCATTGTATGGTGTCACACTTTATGGTGTCACAGTGTATGGTGTCACAGTGTATGGTGTCACAGTCTATGGTGTCACAGTCTATGGTGTCACAGTCTATGGTGTCACAGTCTATGGTGTCACAGTGTATGGTGTCACAGTCTATGGTGTCACAGTGTATGGTGTCACAGTGTATGGTGTCACAGTGTATGGTGTCACTGTGTATGGCCCACAGTGTATGGTGTCACAGTGTATGGTGTCCCCAGTGTATGGTGTCACAGTGTATGGTGTCACAGTGTATGGTGTCACAGTGTATGGTGCCACAGTGTATAGTGTCACTCTGTATGGTGCCACAGTGTATAGTGTCACAGTGTATGGTGTCACAGTGTATGGTGTCACAGTGTATGGTGTCATAGTCTATGGTGTCACTGTGCATGGTGCCACAGTGTATGGTGTCACAGTTATGGTGTCCCCAGTGTATGGTGTCACAGTGTATGGTGTTACCCGTGTATGGTGTCACAGTGTATGGTGACACAGTGTATGGTGCCACAGTGCATGGTGTCACAGTGTATGGTGTCACAGTGTATGGTGCCACAGTGTATGGTGTCACAGTGTATTGTCACAGTGTATGGTGTCACAGTGTATGGTGTCACAGTGTATGGTGTCACAGTGTATGGTGCCACAGTGTATGGTGCCACAGTGTATGGTGCCACAGTGTATGGTGTCACAGTGTATTGTGTCACAGTGTATGGTGTCACAGTGTATGGTGTCACAGTGTATGGTGCCACAGTGTATGGTGTCACAGTGTATTGTGTCACAGTGTATGGTTTTCACAGTGTATTTGTCACCAGTGTATGGTGTCACAGTGTATGGTGTCACAGTGTATGGTGTCACAGTGTATGGTGCCACAGTGTATGGTTCCACAGTGTATGGTGCCACAGTGTATGGTGCCACAGTGTATGGTGTCACAGTGTATGGTGTCACAGTGTATGGTGCCACAGTGTATGGTGCCACAGTGTATGGTGTTACAGTGTATGGTGCCACAGTGTTATGGTGTCACAGTGTATTGTGTCACAGTGTATGGTGTCACAGTGTATTGTGTCACAGTGTATGGTGTCACAGTGTATGGTGTCACAGTGTATGGTGTCACAGTGTATTGTGTCATAGTGTATGGTGTCACAGTGTATGGTGTCACAGTGTATGGTGTCACAGTGTATGGTGTCACAGTGTATAGTGTCACAGTGTATGGTGTCACAGTGTATGGTGTCACAGTGTAGTGTCACAGTGTATGGTGTCACAGTGTTTGGT